CACAAGGACCTAGGTCTCATCCTATGGTCCATGTTGAATGAAACTTCTAAATACATACTTGAATTACTCTGGCTTAGCAAAACTCAACCTGGTGCTCAAAACATTTTGCTGATCTGAATCCCACACAGGATACTTTAAAGGGGGGCCCATTGCCAGAAGATCATGGCAGATCCATCACTGCAGTCCTTTAAAGGAATGCCAAAGCACCTCTGGGCCCGGCCCTGGGCACCAGCAGGATGCCAGGCCTGTAAGGGACCTGCGTGCTCCCACCACTGACTCTGTGGGTTTATTTCCTGCCCCGCATTCAGTGTGAGCAATGGCACTTGGCTGTGTGGCTTCACTGCCTGTCTGCAGCCACTTTCCCTTCCTTGCCCAGGGAGCAGAGGTAACAGCCCTGGGTCTCCCCATGGCCCTCCTGCAGACTCCAGCATCTTATGGGGTGCTGAAATCACAGCTTTGCCTTCCTTGGGGGGAAATAAGGTACCAGGAATGAAAGGATTTAGCCAAGGCCAAGTTTGAGATATATATATATATATACATATACATATAATTCAGGGCTTCTTTCTCCTGATGTCTCTGCATCCTGCTGCTGTCCTCCTCATGAACACAATATTCCTACGCTTTTATTTTTGAAACCCCAGGAAAAGTGTCCACCTCCCTCACATCCTCTTACACTGAAATGAAAGGCAAAAGCAAAGACAAGCCTGGTCTGAAAACATGTGGGTTCCTGATACTGTCTTCTCATCCTGCCACTAGCAACAAGTGCCTAAATGTAAAGTGTACATTAATTTAGTATTGAGCAGCTGGAACGAAACTGTAGACAGAGCAGGCAGGGAAGAGGGGGGCTCAGACACAGGGAGAAATCACAGGAATTGGGTCAAATATGACATCTCCCCCCCTGCTTACCAAGCTGGATCCCTCTCCCAAGCTAACAGTGGCACCTGCTCACTGGGTGACAGCCGTGCTGGGCAGCCCCCCCCAATGCTCCTGCTCCCCCTCCCCAAGAAGAAGTTGTCAGCAGAACCTGTTGGAGCAGGGGCTCGTTGACTGCTGCCTGTCCATTACAGCCCGGATTATAAGCATATTGCACAGTGCTCTCTGCACGGTGCTGGGGAAATCCAATACGCTGAAAGGTTAATGCAATCAATTAGGGTGACAAGGAAGTGGAGTAAAGCCTTCTGAGTAGATGAAAGGGAGAGAGAGATGGAGACAGAGGAAAGCAAAGAGAAGCAGGGGGGCAAGGAGCAAAGAAAGATGAGTGGGAGGAGGAAGATGGTATATGGAGCTTGTGCTGCAGACTGCAGGGCGCTGGTGTGGCCAAGGGCACTGTTCTGACCAGCATGGACGGGTGGTGGGATCCACAGGGCCATGGATCCCCAAGGCAGCGGGTGGAACAGGAGTTCTCCTTCTTGGCTTCTCCTGTCCTCTCCTGCAGAGTGCAGAGCCCTGCTCAACCCGCAGCACCAGCCTGCTCCCCAGTACTGTTCACTGGGTGAATTGGCTGCCCAGCTTCCAGAAGGGATGGAAGCAACTGCTCGGGTTTAGAGTTGCTGTGCAGGGGATATCATCACACCATAGAAAAGCATAAGGGGAGGAGAAAGAGGGAACAGGAAGGACAGAGATAACCTCCTCTGGCTGTTCATACACTCTGCGCAAGGAGAAAGGCAAGGAGGAAGACGTGGTGTCTGTGTAAACCTCCCACTGCTCATCACCAGCCACTTGCCTGACCCTGTACCTTGGTGCCACAAGGAATTTTGGCCTGGCTGTGTGGGAACTCAGCCCTGCCAGTGTTAGAGGACCTTAACAGAGGAGAAACCTCTTCTCTCTTTCTCTTCCCACCTCCTTCCACAGGGCTGCCCTGTGAGGCCAGAGGACAAACCCCTACCAAACCCCACCTGCGGCAGGTTCACCTCTGCCTGCAGAGGCAGCTTGACGAGGCTGCAGTGACACTCAGCTGCCAGCCCAGCACAGAGATCCCGGTGTCCCAGTGTGCATCCTGCTGCTCCATCCTGCAGGGCACAGGCCTTTCCCAGAGGCATTCAGCTCAGGGAAGAGCCCATCCTTCCCCATGGCTCCCTGACCCCCCAGCAGTGCAGAACTTCATTAACCTGTGCTGACAGGTCAGAGCCAGCACAGCCCCTTCCTACCACAGCTCCTGCTCACACTCAGCCCGGCCTAGGAGAACGTGACACCAGCTCATTAGGACAAATTATTACTCTATAACCCCTGCTGCAATGTCCCTTAATATGCCTATTTAGCAAGAGACAAGTCCTGGTGGGCTCCTCGGCATTAAAACAACCTCACAAATCACCAGAGGCACAAGCACTGTGATCTCTGCTCCTGGGGGCTGAGGAGAAGGCGGCTGTGCCCCGGTTGGGTGCTGGAGGGGCACAGTCCTGTCCTGTTCCGCTCCAAAGGGGTTGCTGGAGGTGTTTTGTGGCTCAGTGTTACTGCAACACACCCAGGTTTCAGTACAATGTCATGTTCCCCAGCTAAAATCCACTGCAAATGTATCCTAGGATGCCCATTCAAACTGCTGGCCGCCTTCACTCTGTCTTACCCCTGCCTAACTCTGCCCTCCAGCACTACCATCAGTGTCATGTTCCATGTGAGGCTTATAAGATTCCTGTTTCCCTGTGATGGATCTGAAGTCAGTGGCTGGCTTCACAGATATCCACAACACTAACCCTACTTACACGTTAACCAGCAAAGCTGGAGAGCAAGTCTGGAAGCTGAGGCTGTTGGCAGGCACCGGGTGCTGCCTCCCCATGTAAGGCTGTGCTACGTTTTGGGGGAGTAAAGCCCAGTGCACATGAAAGCAGTCAGCTTGCACCTTGCAGGGAGAACAGGACTGCAGGCTTCTGGGGCTAATCCAGAGATTACAGAACCTCTGCAGTTTGGGGCACAGTGAATGAGATATCACAGGGGAAGACAGAAACATGGGCAAATGTCAGAGGAAGGCTGCTACTGAACAGGGACAGGGAGCATGAGGAAACCAACCTCCAGCCTGACCTTTAAGAGAGGGTAAAGGGAGAAAGGAACAGTGATTTGTGTAAGAGCGCCAAAGAGGGGAGAAAAGGGGCAGGAGAGAGTTAGGATGAAAAGTAATAGAAGAAAGAGAAGAAAGTGAGGAGTGAGTGATGCTGCGCCCAGAGGCGAGCAGAACACGAGCAAACGGATGGCGAAATGAGGGAGCTGAGAGAAAGAGGGAGGGAAAGGAGGAGAAAAGAGCAAGAATAGCCACGCAGCGAGGAGCACGCGGGCGAGGCAGAGCGCTGTAACCAGGGTTGTGAAGCATGAAAAGGGAAGAATCTGCCTGTTCCTTTCAGCGCTCGGAGCATGGCGCTCGGTGGTGACCTACACTGTGCCCGGCTGTGATCACGTTTTCAGGGCCACTGCCTGCCGATCCCAAACAATGATGGGGAGCCTTTGAAGTCACAGAAAGAAGCCGCAATGGGAACTGGGCACTTTCTCTCTCTTTTTTTTTTACCATTCTCTTTTTTTTTTTCCCTCCCTATTTATTTTACAGGCCGGGGGAAGGAGGAGGAAAAGGAAGGCCTGGAGTGGTGGGGGGAAGGCTGGAGGAGAGGTTGCAAGGACAAAACAGAGAGTTGCTCTCAGCGGGGTGCCCCGAAACGAGAGAGACAAAAAGAAAACAAACAGTTTATGAGTAGGGCACATGCTGCCTGTGTCTGCGTGCCCCGCGCTGCCGGCCCCCCATGCTCCCAGGGAGGCTTCTGTTCCCCAGCAATGATGGATGGACGCGCAGGGCCATTCAGGCCTGCCATGTTCAGCAGTGGTATTTACATAACACTGGCCTTCCACCGGTCACCTCTGACACTGGTTTGGGGCCCCCTCCCACCCCAGCCAGCCCAGGCCCCTCTGGTATCGCTTGGACTCAGCCCATGGGCTCCCCAGCGCTGGGGCTCGGGGTCCCAACTGCTGCAGGGATGCTCTGAGCGCTGACACAGAGCACTGAGTGCTCCTGGCACCTCTGAGGCGATGTCCCACAGGGCAGAGCGCTCCTCAACCTCCTCTCTGCCATGGCCACTCCTGCCCTGGCCTGCTCGGAGCCTTGCATTAGTGCCAGGAGCAATGGGAGAGGCTGGACTTGGTGGTGATGCAGAGGGGACAGTGTGGTACCCATGTGTTCCCAATGTGGAGACACAGGGAAGAGAGTGGAGACTTTTTGGGTGACACACAAGGGAGGCCTGTGCTGCCTCTGTTAGAGACAAGGACAGCAGGAGCTGTCTTGGGTGGCAGGGACTTCTCAGTAACCATCACAGGAGGTGGCATAGGGACTGTGGTACCCAGCACATGGAGACGAGGCTTTTAAGAGAGGCAATCACCTTTCATTTCCCTGGGCTCTTGGACTCTGACTCTTACCAGACAGGCACTAAGTGACTATCCAGCCCTAGGAGACTGCAAAGTTAGCTCAAGAGGGTTTAGGTAAAAGGAAAACCCAGAATACGCAGGATTCTGCTGGAGACAGAGAGCTGCTTCCATCACACCAGCATGGTGCTGCAGTCTGAATAGATAAAAATGTGCCAGAGGAGGAGGAGAGCACACACATCACCATCTTAAATTATGTGAACTGAGCTCAGCAAAACTTCACAGTAGATGGAGACTGCATCCTATTCAGTGAAAGGACCTTATTCATCTCCCCCCAGCCCACATGGACAAAGACAAAGCGGTACCCTCATCACCAAAGCACTTACACACTTATTTATCTGTAAAGATAGAAGCAGTAGAGAAGATACTAAGGAAATCCCGCAGAGACAAAACCAGGTGCCCAAACAACTGGTGTACAATGACAAAGACATGACTAGGACACACATAGGGCATGTCTGCATTAGACCTTCTTCCATTTTCACCTCCCTTTATGACTAACAATGGTCCGGTGCCAGAAGTTCCAGTGCAGACACAGCCACAATAAGCAAGCCATAAAGTGTGCGAGACACGCAGAGGAAAAGAGAACCCAGGAGGGCGTAGTGACATACCCATTGCAGTCTGAAGTCTCTCCTACCTTTCGGAGATTTCAAGGCCTGGTTTCTTGCCTCGTTTTTAGCTCTAAATTCACTTCATCCTGGGGAGGGAAGAGAAAGGACCCAGTTAATGCACAGGACACATGTAACCAAGAGGCAGGGTGCAGACACTCACAAAAGCGGGGTGAGAACCAGCATGGGGCATTCAGACTTTGCACGGGAACAAAGTGCTTCCCTGCTCCTGGCTGCACCATGTGGTGCCATGCACGCCACGAGACACACAGTGCTCCTGCATCTCCCTGGGCATGAGCCTCCTAACAAGGCCTGGGAACATTCTAGCATGGAGTGAGCAGCTATTCCTGGCCTGAATCCTGCTTCCCAGGTATCCGCACCATACTTTGCCCACACACCCAAGGTGCCTTCTGCTCCATGCCAAATCTCTCCCTTTGCAACGTTCCCAGTTCCTCTGCTGACCCCTCTTTCCCAGAGGTTCACCACTGTGCTAAGGCAGAGGCCTCCCTTGCACACCAACAGGGCACAAGATGATGGGGTGAAGGGTTGGGTCCCACTGAACCCCTTTATCCACTCATCTGTGCATCTTCCTTCCTGGAGAATGCAGAGAGTGAGGAGGAAAGCGAAAAGGGACAGGGGAAAACAAGTCACAGCAAAACACATGAAAAGTAAATTGAATTATTTAAAGCCATATGTTCCAAAAATGTGACAGAGCACAAAAGCCGTGCCTGAGATTTCTGCAGGGGGTTATGCTGCACCGACAGGGTGGGATGGGGAGCTCCATGGCCAGCCAGACAGGAACTTCCCTCTCCCAGGGCCGGGAGGTGGCAGGGAGCACACAGTGCCTTCACGCACCATGGCACGGGTGCTTGGCCCACTCCTGCAGCCTCTGTTTTGCAACCGTGCCATCGCAGCCATCGCAACTGCCCGGGATGTGGCAGGGAAACGGAAACCAACCCGAGGCCACACACAGGAGCCCTGTGCCATGCACCAGCTCCCAGCACAGCTCCCTCTGCCCTGCAGGGACCTGCTTCAGCCCCTTGGTGAGCAGAAGGGGCAGGGACTTGGCTCTGGGGCCCCGGTGCTGGGTGCGTGTGGACGCCTCCTCCCATCACTCACACCATCGCTGCGCCAGAGAGAGATGCCTGGCGCTGGCTGGGACCCAGAGCGGGAGGGAGCCGGTGACATATCCCAGATGGACACAGAGCGCAGGGAGCCCCTTGGGTGAGGAAGGTGCATAAGCAGCCGGGTCCTTCCTTCCCCACTCCAATCCTGGTGCTAAGGAGGCTGAGGGCACGGCTGGAGTAACAGCTCCCCCACTCGAGGTCCTTCTCCCACCCTGGCACCCTCTGTCCTTCTGGCTCTCTCATCCCTCTCCCACCTTTTTCTTCCCTTTGTTCTCCCTTTCTTCCTTGCTCTTTCCATCGCTGTCTCTGCCATTCTGTCCTGTTCTTTTCTCCCTCCCTCCCTCCTGTTCTCTCCTCCCTTCCCAGCTCTCTGCTGTAACTCTCTCCGTGTTCCCAGCTCCACTCCCTCGCCCTGTGCACGGTCAGTTCTTAGGTTTGAGTTTTTACTTGTTGTTCTCTTGTTTTTTTTTCACTCCCCTTCTTTCGGCCGCAGCTTATCAATGATGCAAGAGGAATAACGCCAATTTACTTAGAATGTGTAATCCCCAAATCAGATTGGGGGATTGTATGAGGCAATATGACCTTGCATATGTCTCCATTAAAGCCAGCCAGGCCTCCTCTTGTATTCTGTGTTCCCAGTACATATTTAGACAGATAACGCTAATTGTACTTGACATGTCCTCTTAAAGATGGACTCTTCCCTCCCCCAGCTCTGCCTGCTTCCCTGCCTGACAATGCACCAGAGCAGAGCTCGCAGCGTGGCATGGCACAGCATGGCACAGCACAGCGGGGCCGGTGGCTGGGTGGGCATCAGCACAGCCCACCCACCCAGCTCCACTGTGAGCGCAGCCGGTGCTGCATCCTTCCCTGCGGGAAGCAGGCAGAGCCAGCACGGACGGGGCAGGGAGCAGGGGGAGCGCCGCTGGGACATGGTTAATCTGGGATTACAGACTGCTCCTGTGGCAATCATGGACTGGCCAGAAAATGAGCGATGTGTTGCCAAATCTAAAGCTATGGGTGCCACCTCACCCTGCCCCTCGCCCTGCTTACCCCACTGCCGCCCCTGCCCCTCCTGCTCCTCCCCACCTCGTTGCTGCCTCGCTGCTCTCCTCCATGGGGCTTCCCCTTTCACTTCCTCTGTGTCAAGAGACCAGGGCTGGCTCCTTCCAGAGCCAGAGGGAGATGAACCTTCTGGAGACAGACCCCAGCCTCAACACAATGCCCCTCACTGAAAAGTACAAAGCTCCAAAGCATTCAGACGAAGAGAGATGTGCTCATCTTCGAAGCCTCCCTCCTTTCCAAGGGTGGGCTTTCACCTCACACCTCTTGGGTCCCACATCCGGCCATGAAGCTCTTTGGATGTGGCTACCAGCCCGAGGATCCCAGCTCTGGCCTCTGGGGAGCACTATGAAGAAATCATGGAATAGTTTGGGTTGGAAGAGACCTTTAAAGGTCATCCAGTCCAGCCCCCCGTGGACATCTTCCACGAGATGAGGCTGCTCAGAGCCCCGTCCAACCTGACCTTGAACACTTCCAGGGATGGGGCATTTACCACCTCTCTGGGAAACCTGTGCCAGCGCCTCACCACCTGCAGTGTAAAAAATGTCTTCCTCCTATCTCCCCTCGTTGAGTTTCAAACCATCACCCCTTGTCCTATCGCAACGGCCACTGCTAAAGAGTTTGCCCCCATCTTCCTTACAAGCCCCCTTTAGTCACAAAGGCTGCCTCTTCCCTGTGCCTGCTGCTCAGCCCTGCTCTAGAGCAGACAAGCAGGAGGCAGGAGGAGGAGGGAAGCTTATTCCATGGAAACCGATGGATCCAAACTCTTCGCCAAAGTGGACTCGGATTTCTTTTTTATTCCTTCCCCTTGACACAACATCCTAATTCGACTTTTTCAGTATCTTTCCTTCAACAACCTTTTTTCCTTCCTCCCCTTCCTACCCGGCAACTGCGCATTTATTAATTCATGAGGCACTAATTAGTTCTTTGTTTAATTTTGTGTTAAACAGACTGACCGGAATGATAACGACTTGCAGCGTTGCATTACGGTCCCCAACCGCCCCTGTTTTCTGACAACAAGGGAGCGCAGTGAGACTGGCGTGATGAACCCCAATTCCCACTCCAGTTGCACTTCATTAAGTCAAAATGTGACAAGAAGCTTAGAGAGCAACTTTCAGATCGGATCGCACATAACAATTGGGCAGGAAACTTTCCGAGGGGGAAGCGGGAGAGGCGCTGGCAGCGAAGGCTGGCACCGCACACAATTCCCGCTGCGCCTGCCTTAAAGGAGCCGGCTCGGGCTGCCGGCAGAGGCAGGATGAGGGCACGTGCTGGCAGTGAGGGGTGCCAGGGGAGGAAGAGGAGAGGAAGGGCTGCAAGCCAAGCCAAATGCACGGCAGGGCAAGAGGCATCGCTGCCTTTTCGCTCCCCTTGGTTTCATTTGCCATGATGGGTTGTGTTGGCAGCATGTGGGATGTGCAGTTGAAGACCCCAATGGGACAATACCTCAGCGAGTCACTCCAGGAACTCCAAGGGCATCTTTCAGCTCCATGCCTCAGTTTCCCTCCTGTAGCTCTATGGTGAAAGAGCTGGTGACCCTCAGCTGCTATTCAACTGTAAGAACTACACAATCATAGAACAGTTTGGGTTGGAAGGGACCTTCGAAGGGCATCTAGTCCAATCCCCTTCAATGAACATGGACATCTTCAACCAGATCATGTTGCTCAGAACCATATCCCCTGAACTGCAAAGGAGAAGTCAAATATTGACCCCCACATCTCTAAAATGAGACGTGAAGGGTCAGCTTTGACACCAAGGAGAGGAATGGCTTCTCTCACAAGGAAGGAGCTGTGCCTTCCTTTAGCTTTGAGCAGCACCTGAGCTTCCAGTGGCACTACCAGTTTCTGAAACTGTCCTGATCATCAAGTATCAGCAATAAACTTTGTAAGGCACAAAGCAAGTGAGCTGAGCCCTATGGATGGGAACAGAGCCACCGCATCGCTGCCCATCCTCAAGCTCTCTACTGATGCTCCAAGTACCTCTCCAATAGGAACTACTGCACAGGGTTTGGGCACATGGTCACACATCTGGCCTGGCCCAAGCCTCACTGGCACAAAAAGGTCTGAGCATGAGTTATTCCTCAGCACTGGCCAACATGGGACTGAAACAGATGACACAGCCCAGGCTGAGCTGGACCTGTCCCAGTCCTGTTGGCACATGAAGGTGCACAGCGTATGGCCAACTCCTTGAGCCCCTTCTGGCTCACTGAGTGTTGTGAAATGTGAACAGCCTACAAGAAAGGGAAAAGGGTCTTAAATCACCTCCTGAGATGGGGGGTGGGTGTAAAAGGAAAGTAGGACTTCCCAAGTGCACAGAACGTGGAAGTTCAAAATGCATCTTCTGCTATTGCATGGACATCAGCTGTGAGAACAAGGCACGATCACACCAAAGTGGAATGAGCTATGAGGTCTCAATGCCCGTCTAGCAGGTATTTTTCCATACTTCCCCCTCATCTCTCATCCCCAACCTTGCTCTGCAGAGGCCCAAAGCTCAACAAAGACACAAAACATTGGCAAAGCCACAAGAAGGACTCTCTTAAGGGTCACATCAGGCCTGAGGAGCGACACCTGAGCTGTGTGGGTGTGCACAGCATGTCCTGAACAGGGACAGAGGAGCGAGCACTGCAACCTCTGAGCCTTGGGGCTGCTCCACAGCATCAGTCTGTATGTGCGTTACCAGTGTTCTCACCTGGGTGAACTCTAAATGTACGAGTCTTTGGGAATGGGGCCAGGCTGCAGCAAGGTATCACAGCACCGTGTTTGCCAGTGCACTCACAGCTGAACACCACACGGATCTGCTGGCAGACGTCTTTGTGCTGGCTTCCATCTTTCATGAGTCTGGAATGCAGCAGGGACCTCTGTGACTGACAAAAAGGCTGTTTCTCCATGACAGAAATCCCAGGA